CATGGTATAAATAATAACTGGCATTCTCATTGGGCTTTAAAGTTTGTAAAGTGTTTAGTATACAGACACAGAAATGAGGATCACTAATTCAGACATAAGGATCATTGCAATCCACATACTTAGTTTTAAAATGTCCCTGTTATGTATGTTTTATTATATTTTTATTTATTCTGTTGAATAGTTCCCAATTCCACTTTTTTTCTGATTCAGGCCGCACTTGGGAGCATAACAGACTGCAGGCAGCATGTTTGACAACTTTGGCACTATATGATACTGTCTCTCTACTAGGACAGGAACATAGCTATTAAATACAACCATTCTGTGTAATGTTCTGTTTGCTATAACATGATCATCTACCCACACATAAAAGCTAAGTTGCCTCTGAATCACAGGATCATAGATTTAGAGCTAGCAGAAACTTAATTTTAAGAGTTATGTAAGAAGTTTTATATTGCACTTCAACTTTCTCAGTTCACAGAAGAGAATATAGAACCTGAAAGATTAAATGATTTGCACAATTTCACACAAGAAAGATGTGGCAGAACAGAGGATTACACCCTACATTATCTGATTCTTTACATTCTGCTTTCCAAGGGTGTGTCCGTTTCCCTTTTCTCTTGGTGCATCTCCCTCTGTGGGTATACCTACGTCTCTAGAGTCTTTGTTTATAAGTGTATCTCTGGGGCAAAACTCTGGGGTCGTTTGTGTTCCTGATGATGTCTCTAAGTCTGTTTCTGTGAAAGGGTGTCTGTGAATGTTTGGGAGTCCATGAGCACATCTCTCAGGGAATACATTTCCACAGAGATGTCTGTGTTGATGCTGCCACTAGGTGGCAGGATTAACAAGAACAAATTTATGCCAATATTACCAAAATTCTTTTTAGAAACACTAATATAGCTAAGAAAGAAAGAATCAGGAAATATAATCTACAAGAGGTAGCCTAATGAAACAGAAAGCACTTCAGCTCAAATCTCAGCTTCCACAGGAGGCCTTTCCCAGCTTCCTCCTCACCTCTCACTTCTGCCCTCCCTTCTAAGATTGTCTTTCATTCATTTTCACTGTTATTTTCCTATGCATTCAAAATTATTTGCATTTTGTCTCTCCAGTTAGAACACGTGCTCCTTGAGAAGAGGGACCAGGTTTTTGCCTTTTTTTATACCCTCACTGCTTAGCATGTACTAAGTACTTAGTAAAAAAAATTTGTTGACTGATTTAGAGTCAAAAGGAGATGAGCCCAAATCCCAGCTTTGGTACTTACTAGCTGTATGACCATAGGCAGGTCACTTCATCTCATTAAGTTTGTTTGCTCATCTGTAAGATGAGAACGTCGGACTAGATTATTTTTAAGAGGTCCAGCTCATAATTTATGATCCTAATTTATCTGGATTATGGAACAAGTGTCCACAGTCAATAAAAGGTCAAGAGAAAATACATCACAGCAAACTAACAAATGAAATAGATACCAGAAAGGTAGTAAGCAGAGAAACACTACAGGTAAACTGGAAAAAGGAACAGAGAATAGATTCATGAGGGCAAGTGACCTGGATAAGATAGCTGGAGAGAGGAAGTAATGGGTGTGCGAAGCAGTTATGCCAAAAAAGAGAGCAGTCTGGTCAGGGTTGTCATGTTTCAAATGACCTCAAGAAGATAAGGAGGGAGCAGAAGGGGAAAGAAGTAGAAAGAGACAGACAGGGTGAATTTAAGACAATATAAACTGTATGCCCCTACAACTATTAAAAGCACTCACTACACTGATTTTTCATTCAACTCAATTGAACAAACATATTAAGTGTTTATGTTCAAGGCACTATGCTTTAATTCAGACAATTACTACTCAAATTACAAATAAAATATGAATACAGGCAGAAACTTATCTAAAAATTGCAAAGCCTATCAATTTTCTGATTGAATAAAAGAATGTGGTATACATAATATCAAGCCATTTTGAAAACTATTAAAGTTTTCTTAATGTAAGTCTGTAATGACTTAATTGGTATGGTTTCTTAAAACCTATAACAACATCTGAATGTTACTTCTGCATTCAATGAACATTCCTTTTCAATAAACACTAGATAGCTAATAAAAATCATTAAATACAATTCCCTCATTTTGAAAGCCAGATTAATCTTTCAGAACCTGAATAAAAGAAACTCAGGAGACACCTACTTCAAATACCCAAGCTCACAACCTAGGTGTTGTCCTTGACTCCTGCTCACTCTCACCCTCCCTATATCCAATCCGTAGCCAACGCCTGTTGATATTCATACCTTCATAACATCTCTCACGTATGCCCTCTTCACTGCCACCACTCTCATGCAGACTCTCATCACCCTGCACCTGAACTACTGCAATAACCTGCTGGTTTCCCTGCCACGGAGTCTCTTTCCACTTTAGTCTACCCTCTACTCAGTTGAAAAAGCAATCTACCTAAGGTGCCAGTCTGAGACCTTGGCCTAACTCAATAAACTCTAGTAGCAGACACTTCATCTGACTCTGGGCATTTTCACTGACTTGACTCCCATTAATAAGAATGTCCTCTCTTTTCACATTTGCCTTATGACTTTCCTGGCTTTCTTTAAGTCCTAGTTAAAATCCTACTTATTTTCTTTCTTTTTTTAAAGTGAGGCAATTGGGTTAAGTGACTTGCCCAGAGTCACACAGCTAGGAAATATTATGTGTCTGAGGCCAGAGTTGAACTCAGGTCCTCCTGACTCCACAGCCAGTGCTCTATCCACTGCGCCACCTAGCTGCCCCTAAAATCCTACTCTCTACAAGAAGCCTTGCCTAATCTTTTTAATTCGAGGGCTTCCTCTCTATTAACTATGTTCAATTTACCCCATACAGAGCTTTTTATGCGCATAGTTATTTGCACATTGTCTCCCCAACTAGACTACAAGTTCCTTAACAGCAGGAACTGAATGTCTTTTGCCTTTCCTTGTATCTCTAGTACTTAGCACAGAGCATGCACTTGATACATTTTTATTGATGGACAAAAATCATCAATTGCTTTTCCCTCAGTATCAAAGCTAGAATAATTTTTTAGCACTCAAAAAAAAAAAGAAAGAAAATTCAGGAGACTTCTACTTCAAATATATATAATAACCAATATATATGACTATAACATGTAATATAAAACATGAAAATATAGGACAACAGAACTCAAACCAAAGGAGCAGACTACAGGCACAGAATAAGGTACATGATATCCAACTTGATGAATGTATATATTTTGCCTAACGCTCTACTTTCCTATAAGAGTGGGTTCCAATGATTTAGAGGCGGGTGGGCACATGGAGACTGTCTAGGTTAGAAAAATTAACCTGATTAATTAAGAAGTTCACTCTAATTTCTAGTTCAAATCAGGCTGATGTGATTGGAAATTAAAAAAAAAAAAAGTTAATATTTAGCCAGAGTCATATTATTGGCAGAAAAATCAAGGCACATATCCTTAAGAAAAAAAGAAAGAAAGAAAGAAAGAAAAAAAACCACCAGGAAAGGTCAGAACACCACCTTTGAACTAAAGAGAACACCGTATAATAATTATTATTATTGTTGGCAAAATGTCTGCTAAGGTGATAATTTCTTCATATTATCAATAAATTTGAATTAGTACATATAAAAATTTAGCATGATAATGGTTTTAAGTACCTCGAACTCCTGGTTTGATAATATATTTGCTGTAACTTTAAAATCACAAATTTGACCTGAGGAAATGGATATTTTAGACAGGGCTGCTACTGTTTCATTTCAGTAATAACAGTCTTTCTCCTGTTTTCAGGCTTAGTAGAGATATTTAATAAAAAAAAAAATTCAAGAGTCTAAGTAAGACAGAATTAAGTCCCTATGAGGGGATTAAAACTTAGCTTAACTATCATATAGGTGAAAAAGCCACTGGAAATACCTGGAAATGTAAAAGAAAACACTATGAATAATTCTTGACCATAAACACACACCAGACACTCAAGACTTGCAGATAAAAAGCCATTATTAGTTTGAAGTAATTCCACTATTAAGACTAATGATTTCCATGTATTTTGGGGATTTTTTTTTTAAAACCTCTGAAGTTTTGATGACAGAAATAATGGATCCAAAATTCAAACAACACCACTCATTACCTTTCTCTTTCCCGAATGGCACCCCTTCCTCCCAATTCTGATCAAAAGCTAAACTCCACAGTTCCAGCAAGCTCAAACAAAAGTTCTAGCACCAAGTAACAGTACAGAAAAACAGTGAAGGTTCTACTTCTCTTTCCTAGTCAAACTTGATTTTTGACAGTTGTTAAAGTTGTTTTATTTGGAATTTGAAGGACTGATGGAATTCAGAAAAAGACATCATCACAAAAATAATATATATCTAGCCATTATATATATAATATATACCTAGATTATAACACATTGAAAGTGATTTGGTTACAGAATGTGTTAAAGTTTCAAAAGTTACTTTTAACCTCAAATTATGAGATCCTCTCATTTACATTCTAACTTGTAATGGGAGGGGGAGGGGAAATTTGTAATACATTAGATTTACCTTGTACATTTAAAAAACTTTCAATATCACAATGGCCCAAGAGACATCAAGTCTATGTTACAGGAATTTTAAATATGGCCAACAAATTAGAATAGCATTAAAGTGTTCAAAAGGAACTGGGTATTTCTGTTAACAACTTACTGTTGAATACGGACACCTGCTCGTTTCTTTTTTTTTTTTAAACCTCTGAAGTTATAAGAATTGATTTCACTCTGACCATCCCCCTAAAAAGGTGGATAAAAATTAAAGTTAGACATTTTGGTACAATTCTACTTTAAGAGTAATATGGAGTTTAATTAGTATTACTCTATGCATTTTTTTTTAAAATTTCTTTCTTGAAATAATTTTTTACCTACTTGATTCTCTATCAAGTTTTATAGCAAGATGTATATTGCATATTTTGTAATTTAAAATAATATACTCTAAATATATTAATTATAAAAATGCCTTATACAAAATAGCAACATATCACACTGTTTTTATCAATCCTTTATTGAAGATAACAAGTTGGTTATGTTCACTGCATTGTATGAAACATCACAATATCATACTGGGAGGTACTATCATCAGTACAGGGTTGGACCAGAGCGAACAGTCTGAACAATAAACCATTTTGCATTCTTCATTCCCTATCTTTTAACAACCCCCAAACCCGGTTAACATTATTTAAAACACTTTAACTTACAAGGCTAAAATCTAATGAATAAATAAAATAATACCGTGGCAATAATTGTCTATAGACCAAAAAAAAAAAAAAAAAAATCAGATGCACAATGAAATTGGATGATTAGAAAAGCTGGCTGTAGGCAAATGTATCACTTTACAGACACAGCTTACGGAAAAAGTTACAGAAAATACCATGAATTCCATTTCACACAAAACCAGTTGATGACTCATTAGCTTAAACTACACACAGGGCAATAACATCCTCGCTGAAACACAGTTTAAACAAATAGGAAAAATGTTTACAAGGCATCCACATCATGTAAATCATATACAGATGGATACATTCATTGTTTCCCCTACCCAATAGCTTCTTTTAGATAAATACTCTTCATGTTCAGCATTAACTGGGCTTAATACATGCACAACTCAAAAGAATTCAGAAAAATTAATGTTATTGCAAAAATAGAATTAAACTAAGAATCTTCAAGTACCTTACATGACAGCCACTCTGTACCATGCCCACTGTTTATAAAATGAAAGGTCACGGAACCCATGAAAATATCTCTGTAATATTTTCTTAGATCTAAAATAGATAATTTTAACTGTATTTATAGTAATCTCAAAGTGATATTCTGAGTTCTGAAAATAATACAAAATAAAAATACCAATTTTACATAAAACTTCTGTTTTTATCTTAAGCTGAAAATTCAAACTATAGAAAAACCACATTTAGAACAAAAAAAATCACAATTTACATTATAAAGGCAAATTTTCATAATAAAAAACTGAAGCAGTGAGATGTCAAAGCAAATTGCAACTAATTATAAGTTAAATCAGTTTGGTTTAAGGAGACTTCTAAAGTTAGAAGTTAAAGATGTGTTGTGCACATGGGTAAAATTCTGAAGGAATTTTGATGCCTAAAATGATCTTATTATTGCCAAATACACTTATCTTGAAGCAAGGCAACATCACAATTTGGACACTGTTGGAGAACCCAGTCTGGTATTACAGGTAAAACTGAAAAATAAAAATAAAAATAAAAATAACAATACTAATAAATTCACATCCTATAGCATATTGCCCAACTGACATTTCAAGCCACAGAGCCTCAAAAGCTTTCCAACTTGGTAAAGTGAAATAAGTAGCGTCTCAGACAATTATTTGTACTCTTACATGCTTATATGTTGTGAGTTTTGTTAAAATAAAAATCAGAATGTATCTTCAGAGTACAACTATAATCCCATGCACCTCAGGCACATTTATTGATTTATGGTTGTTTATTGATTTATGGTAGAATCACTCCATTGGTTTCTAGTAATCAAGTTCAATACAGATGTAATCAGTATGCCTGAGGTTGGCAAAAATACTGTAGTATAGGCAATGCTAAGAGTGGCAATATCAGAAAACACAAAAATGAACATATGATGGAAAATTCTGATAATTTTCTGCTCATTTCACAAAATGTTGGAAATCCACCAGAATTATTCCCTGGTATTGAAGAAAACTGTGATTAAAAGTTTTTCCCCCAATTTTCAGAATCAAAAGCATTTTAGTAGATTTGTAAGGCTACCATGGGTCTTCTAGATCTCCAGCACCCTACAGGAAGAGAAAAGGAAGAATATTAATATTATTCACCTATACTACTCCCATGATGGACTGAATTTCAAAAGTTTAAAAAGGAAAACAAAAATCACACAAACAAAAGTACCTTCTTTTTGAAAAGCTGCTTTTATACACAGGTCATTTCCATTCCCACTATCTTAAGCCTTTTTAAAAATTCCAAATCACAATTGTATCATACTTCAAAAATTCATTTGGAAATGGCAGGAAGATAGATATACCGATGAGTATCACTGCCACTTCCATTCCACTTAAAGTAACTTAAGAGTTTATCCATAAATTACTTTCAGAAAAACAAGCCTTCTTAGCTGAGCCAGAAAATTGATTTTGTACAGAATTTCACATTCATCAGGGGAAAAACAAAAATCATTTCTGCTGAGTGATCAATAGTTTTTTATTTGAAAATAAATTATAACAAAAGCAAAAAATACAGCTTTAAAAGTATTCCTAGCATAAGAAATAGAAAGCAATTGTTTTATTATTTCTAAGCAACGAATACTTTTATCAAAGTAGCTAGTTTTAAAAATTATATGGACAAAATAAAATTTTATATTTTCATACATGTACTTTTTTTTCCTGCCAGTTAAAAATGACCAAAGGTTTGTATAAAAGATTTGCTCACATATTAAGTACAAATTTCTAATTTGGATTAGGTTTCCAGTATACACTTGGATATAAAAACTGTAATCTTTAAAATCCATTTTAAAAAATTACAGCATGCATAAATTATTCCACATTTCATGCTTTATTGGGGGGAAGTCTTAAACACAAACTTTTTTTTTCCATACTAAACAATTCCATATACATTTTGTTGTACAGATATCATCTATACAGAAACTACAAACCACAGTTTCAGGTATAGTACACTTTTTCTAAAACTATATTTGTTTTATAGAGAATACACAAAGTCAAAAGAAACATTCAATCTCTCACAAGTTCTAAAAATAAAACTACAGTGCTTTAAAATAAATACAATTTCAAACATGTCAGAGAGCATTCCAAGAAAGAAATAAAGGCCACCATTAGCCTTTCTGTAATAACTAATACTAAACAAATGGCAAAATTATAAAACTTTTGAGTTCACTAATACGTAAAACAATGTAAAACAATAAAGTTCTGTATTAACAAAGAACCTGTCCACAACAGAAATTAATCTCAGTTTAATGAAACAGGTAAGAACTCATCTGGTGTAGTCCAATTTCAAGAAAGAAACAGAAAAAAACCCCAAACTACTGACTTTAACTGGTGACCTGATTTCAGGCACACCCTGTAAAATGAAATAGGATATATAATTATTAAATTTAAAGTACTATACCAAACTTTGAATTATCTGATAAAAAATATATGCAAAAATGGCCTTCTTAAAAAATAAGACTGTACACATAAAACTAGTTTTCCAAGATTCACATAACAAACTGATACACAAATGCATACATTATACTAGCTAGGCAAAACCGTCAAATCAAAGACCATAAACATATTAACAAAAGAGAGAATTCATATGCGTGAATCGCTCATCTTTGTCCCTGCATCTTCATTAGAATGTTCTAATTCAGCAAGATCACATTTTGTTTCAGTATGGGGTTCCAGCACTGTCACTGGGTCTCCAGCATCATTGTTCGAAGAAGTAGCTCCAGCAGCTGATTCAGCAGGGCTTTCTTCTCCCTGTACTTTAGCTAGCCTGTAACTAGTCAGCATCTCTTCCAGAAGTTGTCGGTAGTTTCCCCTATGATTAATTCTCATTTGCCTGAGAGCTTCCACCAATTTTCCCTGTGATCCACTTTCCTCAGCATCATCGGAGGCCTTTTTTTAAGATTCAAGACCCCAGTGTCAGTAGACAAACTAGGATAATTTAACATATAACATAACATACTATAGCAAAAACACTCATTTTTCTATCATGAGGTATACTATCTAAACATAAGACCATTTTATTAAGCAAGCAGAATCTAAGGAGTCTGACCATGTACATATGAAAAAAGTCCACGCTTAATCATCAATTAAATATGCAGTATTCAAAATGCTATTTTTAGAGAACAGATCTTTATATTCTTTAATGCTATATTTTATTAGAAAGCATTTAAAATTTCTGAAATTGAAAGCACTCTTATAACAATAATTCAATGATCTCATTTTATATAACTTAGTTATAATTTCCAGTATACCCTGCTGTACATCTAACAAATGGTCTTATGATGTTTATTAATAATAAATCATATAACTCCAAATTATCTGAAAAATAAGTATTCCTAATGATAACCAAAAAAATGCCTTTAGTGTTATGGGAATTTGAGAGTAGCTCCCATCCAAAAAGTAACAAAATAAATTTTTATAAAAACAAAAAATTAAGTTTAATATATAATAATGTTTTAAAGCCTTGCAAAAGAACATAAAAGTATTAGTTAACAACCACATGAATCTGCTTTAAAAACAGCTATGTTAGAAGGTTGTCTATAAATTATTATTACTCAAAACTGGACTTGGTTTGGGTAACTTAACATTTTGGAAGAGAAAAAAAAAACTCTTCTTCTTAAACCAAGCTTAGGATACTAATATAGATATAAGTGATTTTTAAATGTTTTTAATTCAAACTATGAACAACTTGAATTTTACATACTATTAAATTTTAGCTATTACTGTGTAGTCTTTCATTACCTTCTACTCAAAATCTACTTGAAGTTCTCTACAGATTATCAATCAAGGGTTATTTGATATAAGATAACCTGATATAAACCTTTTATCACCTTTGGAGAAATATGATCTGCATTTCCATATTAAGGGAGCACATTTTACCTAATGAGCTATTTTAAAAACTGCTAACTTTTTATCCCAACTCCCTACATGGTTCTCTGTATATTTAAATTTTTGTTAATTTATCAGTTCTTCTGGATTGTCAGTATATAAAAATTTAGATTAAAAAAAATTAAAATAAAATTCACTCCTTCCCTCCCCCACCACTAAAAAAAAGAGCTGGAAAGGATTTGAGTAAAAAGACGGGCGATATGTTTTTGTTTGTCTCCCAAGGATAAACCTAGCTAATTGTGAAGAGGCTGGACAACTTATGATGAATTTTTGGCCATTATTAAGGGACTGTACTCTACAGTGTTAGAGGAAATATTCAAATCAAAGAAACCATGGATCTTTAAAGGAATGAAAATAACAAAAAGTATTAGGCAAAATAATGATCTAATGAATTCTTATTTTTTAATGGCGAAAACTTGTGCTATTTATGGAGGATCCGTCTCAATTACTGCCAAATGAAATACAAATAAGAGGAATCTGATTAAATTTGACCTAGTGTCTAGTTTTGTATTTAAGACAATATTTCTAATCTTTTAGAGCAGCTCACAGCTTTCTCCTCATCTAAAGGTATGGCTGATAGAAGGCAGGGTCCTGGAAGCTCAATATTCCCTCTTCCAAATGTTTTGTCAACATAACAAAATTCTCATTCCCAATTTCTATTGATGGAATATAATTACTGCTCATTATTATAAAGATTAGAAAACTAGTATAAATCAAAGCACTCACATTTTAAAGCTTCAGGTTAGCTTTTATCATGCAAAACTATTTCCAAATATTAGATCTTTAAACTCTAAATAACATTATATCTTTAAATTCATAATTATTTCAACTGCTATTGTTACTTTCATCTCTAACAAAATCTTGTAATCCTAAGGATTTCAAGCTTAGTAGCTTGTAATAGTAACAGCCTAATACTTTGCTAGGTAATCATCCTTAAAAAGAAAGCAAAGGAAAAGAATGCCATTGAATGTCTATTACTACTGAACCATACCGCCCACTTCAAGGCTTCCACACATCAAAGACACTAAAATACTTTAGGCCAGAAGTAGCTTGAGTACAAGTAAATAGCTATAAGCATGGGCTGGGAAAACAGCCCATTTACTCTCTTCTAAAAACTAACTTTCCTCAAATAACCTCAAGATGACATTTTGGGAAAAAAAAAAATGTTACCTTATAGAAATGAATTGTCAATCTCTCTCTGCTGACAACTTCACACAATTTATCTTAAATGGGGGGGGCGGGGTTTAAAATGTCTACATTAAATATCTAAAAGCTCTCATAAGGACTAATGGCCATGTTCTTGGGGCATGAAAATGCACTACAAAAAGACATTCATACATGTTTCTGCCTTAGAAATTCTGAAGTCTTTATTTGGAATATTTTCTGGACCCTCACTAAAACTGAATGTCACCCATGCTCTAAAGCTCTATCAGTTTCTTCTGGGATTGAGTACCTACGATGTCTAAGAAATGTGCCCTCTAAGTTTACGATTTTCCCAGTTCTGCCTTGACTACTCCTTCCCCACCCTCTCACCCACCCCCCTCCCCTGCCTTCAGATTGATGGAGATGTGAACGAATGAGCAGAGCTACTAGATGACTTTCTGCCAGATTCCAATCTGGAAGCAACTATGTGTGCTCTCTTCTTCCTCAAATCCCTCTGTATCTAATACGCACAACTCCAGTGGAGGATTCAGGCTTGCTGAGGCCTGAGACTATTTGGGGGATCACATCTTCAAAACCTGTCACAGTGCCTTATTAAAAAAAAAAAAGGCATTTAATGATTGCTGATTTTAATTTGATGAAACTCACCTCTTAACACTAACCCCCTTATGAGCTGTTTATGTTTCTCTACAAATTTGTATAATTCTTTCATATACCCTGGTATTTGCTAGAATGTAGCCTATGATTTTAAAAATAATTAGTCTAATTACACCCAGCAGCCACAAAAAAGATGGTAGAAATTATCTGATGCAATTTCCTTATTTGGTAGATGAGGAAATAGATGCCCAAAATGGGAAAATCACTTGCCCATGGTTATATTTGGAGTCAGAGGACCTGGGGTTACATTCTGGATCTGTAACTAACTACCTGTATGAGCATAGGTTCATTTAAAACCTCTGGACCTTACTTTTATAATCTATAAACAATATCACAGAATCAAATTAAAGATGGAA